CCGCTCCCTCCCAGGCTTGCCGTGTGAATCAGCTGTTTTGCGGCAAGCCTGGGAGGGAGGGGGAGAAGCGGAGCGGCGGCGCGCTCAGGGGAGCAGGCGGAGCGGAGGTGAGCTCAGGGGAGCAGGTGGAGTGGGGGTGGGGGGCCCGGGGAGGGCTGCAGGAAGTAAATGGGGTGCTGGTGCCTAGAGCTGGCCCTGCTCTCTGGGGACCTCTGAGATCAGTCCCCAGCCCTGGTGATTTTACGTCAGTGACCCACCCTCATTGCCTCCGGCCTTGGTGCAAATGTCAGGGATGAATTCTGAACAGGGTCACCCCAGCTCTCAGATCTGCAACATTTAAACCTCTCTCAGGGTACGTCTACACTGCAGCTGGAAGCGAGCTTCCCCGTGGGGTAGATAGACATGTGATAGCTCTGCTGGAGCTAGCACACCTAAACTAGCATGTAGCACTAGCTGGGGGAACAGAGGCAGCAGCTCGGGTTACATGCCTGAGAACAAACCCACCTGGACCCCCTTAGGTATATACCTGGGTGGCTAGTTCAAGCCCCGCCCATGCTATCCCCCCTCCCCCCGTTACACCACTACTTTTATTGCACTAGCTTGAGCAGAGGAAGCACGTGTCTCTCTGCCTGCCATGAGAATCGCACCTCCCAGCTGCAGTGTAGACGCACCCTTAGAGACGAAGAGCTTTAGGCTCACGCTGCACCCAGCCATGTGACCCCTGTCAGGCTGTGCGGTGGTGTAAAATCCTCCCAGGAACCAGACTGCCTGGAATTTCCTCTACACTGGGACAGCCGCCAGGGCTGGTGTTGCCCACAGAGCAGCCAGCGTTGGCCAGGAAGGGGCCTGATCAGGGCTCCATGTCACAGACTCGCCGCCTCCCCGCAGTGACTCCCACTGACAGAGCTCTGGGAGGAGGTGAAGAGCCCCCTGCCCTGGCCGGTGCAGCAGCACAAACAGACCCTGCTCCTGTTTCCCTACTTTGGGTGTACTGAGCATGCTCCCCCGAACTGAGCATGTTCCGTACCCCCAAACCTTACCTCCCTTTTCACGGATTCACACACAAAAAAGTGAAACAGCGCGCCTCAATCATGCAATAGATCAGTTTGGCACGTTAGCCAGGAGGAAGCAGACCGTGAGTGTTTTCGACCACAAACCCCATCCCTCCCGTTTTGCAACCATCCCCCCAGAGGAAGCAGAGTGTGAGTGTTTTCCACCACAACCCCATCCCTCCCGTTTTGCAACCATCCCCCAGAGGAAGCAGACCGGGAGCGTT